TCATCCACAATGGGCTGAGCCCTCCCATATCAATCACTAATCAAAAAAAATGTTTCACAGATTTGCCTACAGGCCAGTCTGATGGATGTTTTTTCTTAACAGAACAGAACCCTCTTCTCAGATGACCCTAGTTTGAGTCAAGCTGACAAACAAACAAACCCCAGCATACTTGTCTACAGTGATCCACTTACTCCAGGAAGGCTCTGCCTCTCAAAATTTCACAACTTTCCCAAAAAGTGCCACCAGCAGAGATCAAGTGTTAAGTACATTAGCCTATGGGAGCATTTTGTAGTCAAAGCATAACAAAGAACTTAAGAAAAGCCCTTGGCATAGTACCTGGCCTAGGTAAGAGCTCAGAAAGGTCTGGTATCATTACTGTGTGTTATCGCAACTGCTGCTTTAATGGTTGGCTTGTATATCTAGCTGCTGAGGTTAGGGGTTGCAGCTTTCCAGCTTCCCATCATTTGTCTTGCTGCAGAACTTGGCATGCTGTACAAGAAAATGTTTAAAAACTAAACAAACAAGTGAGGGAGTGAAAAGTAATTGAGAGTGATTTCAGCCACCTTTGTTTTTAGAACAATCATCTTCAAAGATTCGAGTTCTGAGAATGGACCTTAGAGCCATGCAAAAAACTGGCCAGCATCAATTCAGCGAGCCAGTATTTTTCTAATTAAAAGAAAAAAAAGCATTTCATGAATACATATACTGATTTTAAGTTCTGAGTAAGAGCCAAAACCATGGGAACAGTGTAAAACTTGCTTCTTTTCCATAACATTTCCCAAGTCTCAAGATGTTAGTACTTCTAGTCTTCAAAGATTTGGGACTAAATGGGAAAATGCACTTCAGAGAGATAAGAAGATAAGAATCCTAAACTACTATTCCAGTGGGTAGGTTATCAAAGTACTTTTGCTTATTTGTTTTCCTCTATGAAAGTATGGCTAATTTTATTTTACTTTTAATATCTGTATAATTAAAAACAATCACATCACTTTCTCCTCCTGTTTCTTCTCTCCAGCCCCTCCCAAGTCTCCTCCCTCCAACTCCTTACATCACTCTCAAATTGACAGTTTTGATTTTACTATAATTAAATGTATACATATATATATGTATATATATTTGCACAAATATATAAATACAAACTACTGAGTTCATTTTTGTTATTATGTGTATATTGTTTCAGGGCAGACCACTTTGTTTTGGTTTGGTAATTAGGGGCCTCATCCTTGAGAGAGGCTAATTCTCCCCCTCTCAGCAGTCACCAGTTGCCTATAGTTCCTTGTCTAGGGATGTAACCTCATGAGATTTTTCTCTCCTTTCCCATTGGCTTGTCGACTGATAACTGTCATTGTCCGGGTCTTGTTTATGCAGCCATTTCTATGACGGACTATTTCATAACAGACATCCTGGCGTTCTGGCTCTTTTACTCTTTCTTTCTCCTCTTCTGTGATGTTCCCTGAGCCATTATTGCAGGAACTGTGATGTAGATGTATTCACAGGGGCTGTGCTCCCCGCCATTCGCTGATCTCTGCATTGTGCCTGTCTCTCTCTCTCTCTCTCTCTCTCTCTCTCTC